CAACAGTGCAATAACTTACGAGTTGAATAAAGTGCGTGTCAGTGTGCAGAATGCTACGAGGATCAATAAAAACTGAGTAGAGCAGGTGATGCGTACATTGGCTTATTTAGGGATCGGCCTGATATGCTGATTGAGAATGACGTAATGTATATGGGACACTTTCTGTGGCAGACTGGGAAAGACCATGTTCTATGTTTGACCTATTTAAATAAAACCCATGATTCTCTATGTGAAATTATCTTGTGAAACGTAGTTTCTCTTAACTAAGTAGTTTTTACATTGTATAGATTTTAACTGCATTACATATGTGTGTGTGTGTGTGTTTGTGTATTATCTACGTATAACGGGTACATATAAAGTCTTAAATCTCCCAAATTCATAACAAGCATATTAGTGCACATATGTATATACCTATGAAATAAGAAACCAGCATCAAGTGTAAGATTGCGTTAATTCAGACTACATAACTGATAATACCATAATATAAATCTCATTGATTTAATAAGAAAATGAAATTCTCGGGCAAATCATGATGAATTGAAAATGAAATAAGATCAAAGTTCTACCATTAGCATTAAAGGTGTACATGGTAAGCTTTGAAGGAAAGTATATGCAATGATAGTACCAGAAAGTGTTGAGGATACTCCGCCTATCAGATATAACCCATGAAGATGATGAATAAACAAGGCAGCATACAATAAATTGTTTGTATTTAATCAAAGGTATCAAACCCTAGTTTTTAGCGTATAAGCCCTCAGTCTTACTGCTGAGCTATTGGGAGGCCACAATATTAAATCTAAAATGGTTTAGACGTTCAAACCCGCAATGACCTGGCCCTATTACACTAATATTGTTTAATCAGTCTGTTGCAATATATATATATATATATATTATATAGAAGTTAAGAAAGGTATATATATATGCTTTTCTTTTAAACTTCTGATATCATAAAATAAGAATTCCAGAAGATAGATCTGAATTAAAAAATACAGTAAATGAGTTAGTCAATTATTTTCTATTTCAAATAGATTTATGGAGATTAAACAATATTTTAGCTGTGCTATTATGGTCTTGTTTGGTCTTGACTGAAAAGGTTTTTGTGAACCCAATCACTTTCCTTTTCTTTATATAACATACTTTTAAGAAGAAAAAGACTAGACTTTTGAATACTTTGTTTGATTTGGGTCAACATATATATGTTATCGTACTCGTGTTATATAACATACAATTTTGATATTTTCAGTAAAAGCTAAAATCAAACATGTAAATTTAGGAAATAAAGGAATATTGAGTTCAGTTTAAACGTTTTACCACAAATCAGGAGTTAATTAGCTGACTAGAATATAATTTTGCATTAAGCGATCTACAAAAGTTCGAAGGATTTGTTAAATAGAGTTTGAAATGATAATTTTTTTCTTTCAAGTAGATTTATGGAGATTAAACAATATTTTGTCTCTGCTTTTCTGGACTTGCCTTTGTTTGGTCTTAAATAACATTTCGGGTACTACTTCTTGAATCTAATTTATCAGCAAAGAGCACGAAACTTTACCTCAAAACTAAACAAAAGTAGAAGTTTATCATAATACTGCCTTCAGTCGAAGCACTGTTGTTTGCTAAAAGAAATAATTATTAGGCATAGTTTGATAAAGATATGACATATAATTCTTACCTTAAATCTCATATCTGACTATGACCATAAGGAAACTGACTAAAAGCCCTCATTTCATGTTTTCATTTATAGTTGTTTGAGTAGCTTGTTGGATAATTTTATTGCTTTATAAAATTATTCTGTTTTAAGAAAATAAAGTAATGTTGCAAATTAAGACTTAACTATTATTTAAAATACGAATACGTAATTTTATCTGATAGGCTATAAATTTTGTTTAGGATATCTTGATAACTGTGTGTATATGCACATATCATACTCAATTAGAAATGGTGAAATTATTTTAAAATGGTCCTTTCACTTACCGACACACGACCTCTGTAACATATTGTTGGTAATAATCTGTGTTGATAACAACCAACCAATAACCGTTAGTATTCTTAGCCCAGCCCGGTCGAACGATTCTTGTTAAAGATTCACACACTAAATTCCCTGATCCTGTATCTGCTAACTTGGGCATGCGCACATACTTCAAGTCCCGAAACAGTTTTTCTAACGGCCACTTGAGGTATTTGGTGACCGTTGTGACAATATCTCTAAAAGACAATAACATTAAATACTGATAAGATACCGCTGTTCTCGTTACTAATAAAACAATTCATAGTGTCTTCTATAGTAAATGGGGAAAAAAAAGTTACCGACAAAAGAAATATTTCATTTCATCGTATAGTATCTGTAGCCATAATTAATAGATAACTTCAAAATAATTTGTTCTTTAAAAAATGTCCGAAAAGTTTTGTGAACCCAATCACTTTCCCTTTCCTTAGATAACATACCTTTAAGACTAGACTTCTAAAATATTTTGTTTGATTTGGGTCAACATATACAAACAATTTCGATATTTTCTGAACAAGCTAACATAAAACAAGTAAATTTAGGAAATTAAGGAATACTGAGTTCAACTTAAATATTATATCACAAATCAGGAGCTAATTAGATAACTAAAATACAATTTTGAATAAAGCGATCTACATAAACTCGATGGTTTTGATAAATAGAGATTGAAATGATAATTTATTTTAGTCTTTGCAAACTTCGGAAGCTTCATTTTGAAAAGTTGGACAAACCTGTTCGATATGAACTTTGATATATACTTCCAAATAAATACATTATTTGTGTATTTTTGATTTATTAACGAGCTCTTAGAGATACGTTTTTTGACATTTAAACCCATGATGTTGTTTCATCACATCGTTATAATTTATGACATAAGATTTATAAAATCTCTATATATTTTATTTAAAATGCTTAGAATGTTGAAGTGATCTTATCAGCATTTGTAACAATAACTAGCTCTAAGTCAACGTTCAGAATATGAGAAACATTTCTAAGAGAAGAAGTTTGAGCATCTGTAGATTTCTTAGAACTTTAGAACAGATTAAAATATATGAAATGCATTAACTATTAATAATAAAATCAAAACTAAAAATAGGAAAGACTTAACAGATGGGAAAAGTTCAAGTGTTTTACTATGTTTTTGCTAACTACAATAAAGTAGATAAATCATACTGTGCTCATATTCATAACCAAGTGGTAGTCTTTTAAATTGTTACCCTCTTTCTATGAATGTGTTTCTTCGTACGCAGATATAGAGATTCTTATGACAATGAAAAATGTTAACATAACTTGAATTTCACAAAGCATTTCGCATATGCAATCATTCTGGCACTACAGATGTTGTGCCTGTAGCTGTGAAGTATTGGATTATCATCTTAATATGACACCCGTTTAAACCCAACTAAAAGCTTTCCTAAAGGGACAATTTCCTTCGTGGAAACTGTCTTAATACTCAAAGATACAAACTCTGTAGATGCTAATGTATGATACCAGTCTGACATAGTTATAACGTAACTTTTGGCTAAACTTTATAGAAATAAAATTTTATTACCGTCATTTTTTGTGATAATTCGCAACACTACAAAGCTCATTATTCCTGTTTATCTGGTTTTTATTGACATATAGTGCCCAAATCTGAGATAACATCTATGGTTTCTGGCAACTTAAAGTCATTACAGCATATTATAGCGTTTGTTGATAACGATTATTTCGAAACATCAGATAAATGTTTGCTAATGTATATTTTCAGTTACATACATAATAAATGACACGTTATTTGGACAAAGGGCGTTCAGAGACAGCACCTGTTGGTTCACTTGTAAACTAATTAGTAGTACAAGTAACTGACACAATAATATTATTCAGTTTCTCGTTTTAGCTTTTTTATTATCGTAAAAACAACTAACTCATCGATATTGTTCAATTTATCGTTGTTGTTTTTTTATTGTCGTAAAAGCAACTAACACATCGGCATTGTTCAATTTATCGTTGTTGTTTTTTTATTGTCGTAAAAGCAACTAACACATCGGCATTGTTCAATTTCTTTTTGTTGCTTTTTTATTAAATATGATACCAAATTTTGTTTAAAAGATCCCCCAAAACTGAGAAACAACAGATATACAGTTTATAACATTTCCACACACGCATAGCTGTTTACAACACGAAACAATATAAAGACAAAGCAACGGCTGCAAAGCAAAAGGTCAGAACAATACTTGGACGCTATAGTTGAAGTGAATCATTTAATTTTTCTAAAAACATTAAAGTATAATGCAAACATATTTCTGAATTTTTGTCTACAAATATTTCTTTACCGGATTTATATTACGGGTTTCCAATAATATCAAGAACCATTTTAGCACCTTGACTGCAGTCCTGTTGTGGTGTATGGAATATCACTAAAATTGGAGATTAATAGATCATGCTTCACAAGCATAGGTGGCTATACACTAACCGCATATGCTTATTGTATTATATGATAACATAAAAGAACTGTATGGTTAACGTTTAGTCGGAACGTTATCTACATAACTTATTCTTGCTGTATAATATTTTAACCACGCAGTAGCGTTTGTTGTTTGTTAATCGTGTATTAAGAATTATAATTGTTTAATACTAGTTTACTTTATAAGAAACAGATTGTGGCTTTACTGATCGCGATATCTCGGGTATCTTCAGCATTATATGCTCGATATTCTTTGAGCGTATAACACTCATGGTGCTCAACAAATCATTTGGACAGTAAAGCCATGATATTCTTTATAAGAACTAACTTGTGGCTATATAGCTCCTATAAGATATCGCACACTTTGAGCGTTTTGTACTGAATATTCTTTACAAGTACCAGCTGGGGACTATATAGATATATGTCAGGAACCATGAGTGTCATGCTCAAAAATTTTATACCACTCACAATAGGTGTTTTGATAATCAAAGACATTAATTAAATATGTTTAACTTTGAGTTTCACGGAGAACCAACCGTATTGTAATTAGACTTACACTGGGTACTCATCTTTGTAACTACAATAATAACTCCCATATTGAGCACATTTTGGTGCTTTCGTACTTCCTGCAGGCCCATGGTCATCCTCTCCGTATAAACCACTGTGGCCAGCTCTTCGATTCCTAAAGCTTGACTCCTTCAAGGTCTTCCGAGTATCGCCTTGAATAGTCGGTCGATAAACGGTATCGCTCGTCGCCTGGTCTTTTACTGGATAAATAGTTATTCCTTCGGTCAAGTTATCATATTCATGTACACTCAAAGATAAGTCTTTGATGCCCTGAGGAATGAACCAGTTCTCTTCCCACAGAGATGCTATGCTCCGGTTGTACACGGAGTTCTTGTCAACTGTTGAAATGTCTTTACTTTGAGCCAACGTCCCAGCTGCAACACACAGGACAACAAACGACTAAAAAATGAAAGGAAGCCGAGATTGTGTTAGATGTATGTAACAGAGCAAATTCCATTTTTGATATTTAAGTATCTTTCCCAAAGTTTTTTAAGTACGTTTAACTCTGTTTCAGATATATTGCTGTTAATATTTCTCCGGTTATTTAACTGTAGCTTATTTTAAGAAAATTTTCAGTTTGTTCACCTATGTATAGAGTATAAGTTGAATATATTTAATTAGATGTCTAGGTGTATTACACTCACGTTGAATCTATTGAATTAAAACCGTTTCATCGAAACATTACAAGTTATAACGTTAATTTAACTTTTACTCGTTAAAAACCAAACACACTGAATTTCGCTCTTTTAAAACAATCACAATTTTAACTCCGTAACATAGAAGTTAAAGCTATGAAGAATATGTTTATAGATAGTGGTTTCCCCTGTGTTTAAAGCAACACATTCTTACAACACAGAAGAGTTTAAGTAGTTAAGTAAAGAAATGTTGCAGGTGTTAAATTTACTTCAACTGTAGTGAATACATAAATGAAACGGACAAAGCTAAAGAAGTTAGTAAAGATAAGGAAAAATTAGCGAAATGGTTAAAAAGAAAAAATGCATTTCAAACAAAACTTTACTGAAATCTAACAAATAATATAACTATAGATTAGATATAAAAGTTAGGAACAAAAGGCGAAAATCTCTCGCATATACAATAGAAACATATTTTTGCTCATAGTTTATTTTGTTTTCATTCAAATACTTTTTTAACATAGGATATGTTAAAAGTAAGAATAATTTGTTCCATACGGATAAAGAGTGTTCAAAGTGGCAATCCAGTAAGCATATTATATCTCTCAAAATCCTTTACTTTTAATTACGGTTTTGATACTTAGCAGAATTTTAGTATTGTTAGGCTGGATGTAAATTAATGTAGCCAACGGGTAAGTCTTCGGTTTGTATTGATAGAATATTTTTTTATTGTTCAAACATTATCTTGAGTTTGTCAGACACTATACTGTTCGCAGTATTCAAAAATGGTTAAATCTTGTCAACAAATATGGCTAAATAGTCATGAATAAATACATTAAAGACACGGATAACTATTATCCCAAACACAACTAAAAATGCAAACACACATATTCAATATCATGGAAGGTTACCCAAGTATATAAACCAAAAATATATATACTCAAAATCACAGCTACACATCTAAATAAATAGTTAAAGAAACATAATTTAATACTCATCTACAAATAATCTTTAATAAAATACATTAGTATGCTCATAGCGCAGATAATTTGTTTTCGACAAATGTATATACTTAGCTAAGAAAAATGGATAAATTTTCAGAATGGAAATCTGATTACGGGTTTCATTTAATTGATAGTTGAAATTACTAGCCACTATATATAATGGAAAATATCAATATTACTAAAAGTTATGTCGATGATAAAAGAAAATTAAAATACAAAATCATTTCTCTAGCCTGATATTTCGTTTTTGTTTCTTTGATTGGTTTTTGCTTCACTTACTATTTTGTAAAGTCCGTAATCCATTTCAACAACAGCACCAGTCAACACAACACAAGTGGTTGCACAGAACAGAATTAATTTGAAACAGACACTTTTTCTTTAAATATTGAAGATTATCGTGTACATTTAGGTCTCATGAACTGCGTAAATCTTAAGCTCTGAAACATACGGTCACGAATGCCTATATTTAGAACAGAACAAAACAAAACTAATTTATCACATCTTTTGTAATAGCATAGCCAGCACTGTAGACTGAATCTTTCAAAATTTATGTACCACCCCTAACAGATGACCCAGGAAGAAGGGACTAAAACTACTGGACCAAGTATTTCGGTGGAACTTAGCGAACTCCAAACAGCAATGTTTCAGTTCAGTAACTCAACAGAGTCACAGAATTGCATCAATTTTGTGTAGTGCACTCCACATTAAGTATGTTTTAAAATGTTCATTCCGCTACACTGAATGTACCTCACCCCTCTTAGAGCATGAAAAAATTCATTCTGATTACCAAGCTAGTTTGCGCGTTATTCATAAATATACACCAGTTTGTTCCGCTTTCTATTACAATTTAAACTGTTTATGTACTTATTGACAAGCTCCAACAATAGATAATATTGTAGGGCTTATAATTTGTTGTGCCTCACCTAACACACTACATGTAACACAAACTTGTGAATACTTATATATATACACACAAAGCGTTGCCTGCTCAAAAACTACACGATAGTGTAACCTTTCATATATCTTAAAATACATAACTTTGTAAACGAATGCGCATATAATTCATTAAAAGTTGAAAGATAAAACATTTTATTATAATGCAATACTGTTGATAATATAAGAACTTAAATTTTGTTTTCAAAACGATTCCAAATATAACAATTTTTTTTGAAATTTATAGTTAAACTGAAGAAAGAACACAACATCGGGATTTAAAATAGGACTTATTTTTCTATCATCCTTTCAGATTGTACTAATATTTTTGATAATTGACTGATGAAACCATTTTCTCTTCATTGTGCCCTCTAACGGCTCAGTGATAAGTCTGAGGGCTTATAACGATAAAAATTTGGTTTTGATACTCGTGGTGGGCACAGCACACATAGTCCATTACGTATCTTTGTGCTGAACAGCAAACAAATCTGTTCGGGAATTTTCTAAAATCCACCTATCATAGTTCCTTTCTTCACAGTAAATGTTATAAATCTACTTGTCGTGTTTTTTGGAGGTTGGTCAGTTATAAAAATTACTATTCCAGTGAAACAAGAAAGAATTGATATTGTTTTTACATTTCTAATCTACTTTCCTCTATGAACCAGCCTTTTCACATATTACTTGTTTGTTTATTTGTTTTTGAATATCGCGCAAAGCTACACGAGGGCTATCTGCGCTAGCCGTCCCCAATTTTGCAGTATAAGACTAGAGGTAAGGCAGCTAGTCATCACCACCCACCGCCAACTCTTTTACCAACGAATAGTGGTAACGTCCCCACGGCTGAAAGGGCGAGCATGTTTGGTGTAACGGGGATTCGAACCCGCGACCCGCAGATTGCGAGTCGAGTGCCCTAACCACCTGGCCATGCCGGGCCCACATATTACTTGCCTAGAAACAATTCAGTCTGTGTTAATCCAATTTTATATACTTCTAAAGCACTAAAATTGAAAATAGACCGACTTTTTGGTAAGAATTAAATGCCTTAACCAACAAATTTATCATCGTTAGTTACCCTAATGCTAATTTTAACTTCGTTAATTTTTTCAGGATCGTAAATGTCGGGTCTGCTAAACTAATTATCTTTAAAGCACACAAACTTTTTATTATATTTTGGTAAAACATATTGATATTAATATTTAAACTAAATATTAATCATGGGATTGACGCAGCACAACTTCCCGTAACTTTCTCCGTATAACCGTTTGCCAGATCATTACTTTCCCATCTGCAGTTTCCCATCTCCGGAGAAGAATACCATCTTCAAGCTTCCACTGGTCCCATTGTGCTCAATAGTTCTTTGTCACAGGGCTTAGACTAGACACCTTCTCCCAAGCAGGGCGCAAAACACTTGCTTTTAGAAAATCAATTATTGGCTTCAAGTCTTGGTCTTTCTCCTGCTCTGCTTTAATATCTATACCTGGTTCAACTTCACCATCATCAACTCCATCAGTCACTTTGACTTCAGCTTGATGGCACCTGGTTAGTTCAACCTCTTTTTTGCATCAATGTCTGCAGTCATTTTTGCAAGGTCTTCGGCTCAGTCCATCGACATTTCTATAAGATTTTCCTTCTCTATATTCAATATTATAATTATATTGGTCTATTTTTCCGATCCAACGTACCAGTTGTCCCTCTGGGTTCTTTAATGATCTTAACCAGCGTAATGCAGCATGGTCTGTTCTGATGGTAAACTTATCCCCATAAAGGTAAGGATGGAAATATGTCAGACTCTTTACTATAGCAAGGAGTCTACTCAAAACCCTACTGAAGTAGGCCACCACATGTTCGTTTTCACCCACTTTCTGAGACAACACTCCTA